ATGTATTTGGTAAGGTATGCACGCGGAAATTTATGATCGTGTTTAAGAGGGGTGAAATTGAAAATGGAAGTTTTATTGAAGTTAATGTTTTTATAATGAGAGGAGGAGTTATCAAAGATTTCTGAGAATTTGCTTTTAAAAACAGTATCTATATAACTGGAGAGATCTGAGCTATTATGATTTTCAGTAAGTATGAACGGATATTTCCAAGCATTTTTTGCTGTTTCATCTGCAAGTTCATTACCTCGTATCCCAGAATGACCAGGGACCCAAATCAGGGTAAGACGTTTGTGATTAGAGGATAGAATGTTTCTGATAGCAGTTGCATAAAAGTTCAGATTAGCTGAATTAGATATATATTGGATTGCGGACATAGAATCTGTACAAATTGCAAAAGAGCCTTTCTTAGTTTTGGCTATGGTAAGGGCTTCGTAGATGGCTATTAGTTCTGATGTGAAGACTGAGGTGTAAGATGGTAGAAGTGAAGATTTAATTATAGAAGAGTCGGTTGTTATGCTAAAGGAAGTCGCGAGGTCAGATTTTGAACCAGACATTCTATATAGATGGATGTCCAACTTCAATAACAAAATCGGGAATCATTTCGGAAGTTCAAGAAATAGATTTACTGTACAAAAAGTTATTCTTACTAACACATTGAATCGTAGTTTGTTTGAAAGGTTTTCATATGTCTTTTGCTGTTTGAGCACGTAAATTTGTTTAATATGGTAATATGGTAAACCATATTTGTTTAATATGGTTTAATATGGATTGAACGGCGATCAAATGGTTAAATTTGAAAGTTTTGTTGTCAGTGTTCAATTCGCTTATTCACTGTGGGAACCATTTCTGCAGATGTTGTTCACATTTTTCAAGTGTCGTTGAGTGGTTTTCTTATCAAATGAAATCAACAATTTTAAGTTTTAATAAAAATAATGTTCTTTAAATTATAATTTCTTGACCAAAAGTTTATAAATTGTAAATTGTTTATTTAAAAATAATTAATACTTTTTCAGGAAATATTATCGTAGAATTCTTATTTATATTTGATCGATTTTATAACATTGAAAATCTTTTACATAGATTTTGTCCAAGTATTTGAATCGTTCCCTTTTTTAACCAGTCCCTAGCAGTTTTCCAGCTGTTTCGTGCACTTAGACTTCTGTTCATTTTTTGCTACATTGTATGGGTAAATGACTTCATATCATTAGTTCTAAAGTTTTTCACAAGATAAACTGCAAATGGTTAAATTAATTTCCAGTTCTCTCTTGGAATACGGAAACTTCAGAACAGCACATATATACACTATTATTAGAAATTGTGAAACTATTTTCAAAAATAGCTCAACAACAAGTTAATAGGTTAGGTTAGGTTAGGTTAGGTTATACCGGCGATCCCGATGAGAGGCACTCTTATCGTCTTCCTTACAGCTGCGACAGGTTTGATTGAAAGCGAGACCTAATCTTCTGGCATGGTTCCCTACATTACAGTGACTTGTAAGTAAATCTATCAAAAGACTGATATTTCTACGACGCATCTGAATAAGAATTTCTTTTTATATCAGAACGTGCCTAGAGTGCATACAGATGTCTGCATATCGTTGAGTCTTCCCATGTTTTATTAAAAATTTCAGAACAAATTAATAATATTTAATAATAAATTATTAACTAAACAGGCATATTTAATTATAATTAAATAATAATTGTCTCATAAATGTTTCATTTGTTCACTATCTCCCTCTCTATTACTCATACTTATTTAATTATATCAACAAATTAAAATGTGACGTTTTGAAGCTATTTTTATAATTCTATAATATTTTTTTTTTCCGCTCAAAATTACTTTTGTGTCTGTTTTTGTTGTTGCTATATGAATATATTACATTGTTGCTGTGTGTTGTTGTTGTTGCGTCAAAGTTGCTGTGTTAATGACCTAACAAATGAATTTTATTATAAACTGGTTGAGTTGCAAAACCCGCCAAAGAACAAAGAGCAAAACAAATAAAAACGAATATAAATATAGCAACAAAATTCAGTGTTAGACAGATAAGAAAATAAAAACTAATAAAAAAGAAAATGTAAAAAATGGCAATTAAAATAAAACACATGTCAGTCAGCCAGTCAGAATGGTGAGTAAACAGAATGTACAAAGTACCAGGCAAGTGTGTGAGTTAATGCAGGTGCGTTGTGGATGTGTGTGTGCATGTGTAAACGAGTTGCATTTGCTAACTGAGTGATTCATGTTATAGAATCTACTCTGCGGTTAATGTGTCCCTGGTCTTTGGTTTTCACATTGTGTTAGCAAGTTTGGTGCTTAAGTCTTTTGTGCTACCACACAAAAATATATAAAAAGTAATTTAATAATATTTTATTGTTCAATAAACTGAAATGTAAACAGAAGTATAAGGCCCATGAGTATTCCCAAATGAGTAAATGTGATAAACATATCACTAATCCACGTTGCTCTTCTTAAATGAATATTAATCAATTCTTTTCAAACGATAGACCATTATTTTTTTCGAAAAAGAAAAAATATTTTAAATAGAATAAATAAATTGACATAAATAATGTAATATTAACTAAATAAATATAATAAATAAATTGACATAAATAATGTAATATTAACTAAATAAATATAATATGTATACAAAATATATATAAATAAAAATTATATATAAATAGTTAATAAATATAAATAAAAAATAAATATATATAAATAAAATATATATATAAATAATATATATATATATATATAAATAAAATATATATATATATATATATATAAATAATATAAATAAAAAAAAAATAATATATATATAAAATAATTATATATATATATATAAAATATATATATTTATATATAACAAAATTTAACTATTATATATATATATATAAAATATATATTATTATATATTAATATATAAATAATATATTTATATATATATTATATTATATATATAATATTTATATATATATATATATATATATATATAAATTATAGTTATATATATATTATTATATATATTATATTAAATAAAAAATATGTATATATAATACTATATATATATTATATTATTATATATTTTTAATAAATTAATAATTATTATTATAAAAACTAAAATAAAAAAAAAATAAAGAGCGCAAATTATGAACGAAAAAAAATTATATAAAGAATATATAATTAGAAAAAATAAAAATAATGAATATTAATTGCAACAAAAAAAGAATAAATAAATAAATAAATATAATAATAATATAATAATAATATAATAATAATATAATAATAATATAATAATAATATGATAATAATATAATAATAATATAATAATAATATAATAATAATAATAATAATAATAATAATAATAATAATAATAATAATAATAATAATATAATAATAATATATTAATAATAATAATATAATAATATTATATTAATAATAATAATATAATAATATTATATTAATAATAATAATATAATAAGTAAATATAATTATAACAGAAAGTTAAAAATTATAAAAACATAATTAAAAAAAAAATAAATTAAATAATTTGAAATAAAAATTAAAAAATTTAATAATTATTAAAAAAATAGAATAATTATTAAAAAATATGATAATTACAGAAAATTAAAAAGGAAAATAAATGAAAAAGTAGAAATTCACATAATTCCATATATTTAAACAAACTACTTTTGCAGTCAAGCAAACATCGTTGTTTTTGCAAATTTGTTGTTGTTTTTCTTTCGTTTCATTTTTTCCTTTGTTTCTTATTTGTTTTGTTTTGTATCTTTGCTTCTTGTTCTCTAAAATGTGCAAGTTCCTTGCAAATATGAATCAATAATAATGTAACGGTGAAAACAAAGAAAGTACTGCTGGGCTTAAAAATTTCTGTGGAGAATCTCTATAAAACAGTTCTTATGCCATGAAACTACTGTAGAAAATTAATATAAGTATAGGTTTATCAAAACCGATTTAATAATTAATAAATACATAATAAGCACATAATTATATTAATTAAATAAAATATAAAATTACAAAAAATAAAAATGGCATAAAAAGAAATAAAAAACAGTTAACTACGAACGGACTAAACTTAAGTAATTTGAACTAATAATAATTATTGAAACTAAGTTCTTATGTTTAATCAATAGAAATTAAAATAATAGAATATATGTAAAAGAAGCACATAGACAATATAGTGTGTAAATATAAAAATTATTATATGTTTAATATGAAAAGTGTTTACCCAACATAATATTTAAATAGAAGTCTACAACCACTTTCAAACTTGAATATGTTACCACTGGTTCGTAACTTGAATATGTTAGTTTCTTTCAAACTGTTATTGTCCCAAACTCGAATTTTATCTTTTTCTTTTAGTGAGTACTGTCCTTGTCCCAAAGTATTAATTTTTTTCTACATTTATATAAATTAGAACTAATTAAATATTTGTTAAAGCGTATTTCAAAATAAATGGAGTTAACCTAACGTTAAGTAACACAAACAACACTTCAAGCGCTTTGTTTGTTAATTTTTTTTTGGTAAGTTTGATGGTAGATAAAAGATTATCTTTAGCATATACACTTACCTTTGCTGTTATTCTTCAAACTGTGCTGTGGTAATATTTTCAATGATACTCAAACTGTTATGAAACAGTTTGGAACAAGATTTTTGTAATTTCTTACACTTAGAAAAATAAATACAACAAAAACTAAAAATGTTTTTCGAATAGTGTATAACACTGCATTGAATATTTCAGCATTTACAGATATCTCAAATCTATGATTTATGTTATATCAATTTAATTTATAATTTCTAAGAAATTTGGGAAAAAAGAAAGAAAAAATATTGTTTCTTTCATTTAAAATTATCGTGTAAATTTCCTATCTTGTTTAATTATTTTACAATTATAAAAATATATCTATTAATTGTTTGTGTTTTTAATGTTATAGAAAATATACATTTATGAAAAAATAGATTTTAAATTTTTTGTTTTTCTATTTCAGTCGTACTCCTGGTTCTCGTCAACCCTCACCAGCCGAAGAATCTCTGCCACGGCCACCCACATTACTCGATCCAACTCAACATGGTGGCTTTCCACCACATGCATTCAATCACATGCTTGGTTCAATGGATCATCAAGGTCCAAATACACAAATGAATTCGTATCCACATCATCAAATGCCACAAATGAGCCAACTACAGCCACCAGTTATGAATGGCGTAGGTGGTATGCAAATGGCACAGGTATATTAAATAAGCTCATATATATATTTTTGAATAAACAAAAATATTTCTTATATTCTATGCAGTCCCCTATGATAAATCATCAGGCACAAGGTCCGAATCAAATTGAATCTCCTGGAAATTTGTTACAACAACAACCACCAAATTTTGATGTACAGGTTAGTTATTACATATTGGTTATTATATAAACTATATAAATAATATAAATAAATAAATAAATAAATAAATAATTATAGTAATATGTTAAATACGAGTAGTAATATAAATATATGAATAAATATAGCAAATTCGGTAATATTTTTAATTTATTTCTGATTCGCAAAGTTTGTTTAAGAAGAAACATAATATTTATTCGACATGTTACTAAATGATAGTCCACATGATAGATGATTGTAATTTTGCTCCTCTAGCTCGAAAAGTCTGTTCACACAGCAAATCTTATTTTTACTTTTAGTTTTATTTCTCATTTTTGTTTTTTGTATTTGTTGTGTTTTGTAATATTGCTTTAGTTTAAAAGAATTATTCATGGTATCCTTACACAATTTTTATATTTATACTATATATATAAAATACAATGTAATTGTGAATATTGGCCGTTAGGTTTTTGTATGGAATCGGATTATAATTTTAACTAGTTTTTGTAATGAAACGAGTCGAACGAGCTGAACAATCAAAGCTACAATTAAAATTACAATTACTTGTGCGAATACTGTGTGAATAGACTCTATGACCCATGGGGAGTAAAGGATATTGTTAAAAAAAAAATTAACTATAATATAAAATGACTTCTAAAATATATATTATTTATTGCATGATATTGAAGTTATAATATTACCAAAATCGAATAAGGTCGTTATATAGAATACTGTAATAATATATATTTATTATGTTATCTTTAATTGGGCAATCTAACTAAAAACTTTCTTACATAAACTTCGAAAAGTAAACATAAAGTTGAACATTTCCACACCAAGTTGTCCTTTTTAGTTTCCATATTTGCCTTAAGCATTGATACTAGGAAGGAGTGTTATGGAGTATTAGCAATGCAATTGAATTGCTTAAATTAAATGGAATAGGCTTCTTTGAAAAATCTATTTACTTTGAATTTAGAACATAAAGTTCTGTAATTAATTTTGTATTAATTTCATTTAATTAAATTTATAAATTTATGACAAAAAAAAAAAAACATGAGAGTATGGCATATGAGTTTTTGCATTTCATTTCTCTATTTTTTTGTTTTTTTACTAATATATTATATTAAATATATATTTATCACGCATAATACTGCTGCCTCTTGCTCATGGCGTATTGTAATTTTTCTTTCGGCTGCTTTATGCTTTGAAAACATCACTCAAGTGCACTTATTTATGCTCCCTATTTACTATTGTATGCGATACTTAAAAGCTGTCCTTTATGTTGTCCCTTATGATATCCGTTTCCGGTTGCACTCGTAACACACAAATGCAGCTTGCATATGCTTTTTCCATAGATTCCATTTTTTCTCCACTTTGCTTATTGACTTTCCTAGTGCTGTTGCTGTTTCTGGCTGCTAATATGCCTGCCACTGTGCCAGTTAAAGCATGGAATTGCATTACATGCACTCCCTAATGTCTCTGACGGAGAATGGCATCGAAAAAGGGACGGGCAGCTTGGTGTGCATGTGTCCAACATTTTGTTAGCCTTTGCAGAAAGCACAATTTATTGCAAACGGAAATCGGATTTATTAGCCGCAAAATTGCTTTTCAATGCTTTTAGAGTTTTTTTTCTCTTCTTAAAAATTTTTTTCTTTTTCTCCATTTTGGTTTTTTTTTAAATTTTGTTTTTTAATGCTGAAAATTATGTTCAAAATCGTATGTTGGGTTGTGTTTACTAGTTTTTAAGGCAGTAGTTACTCCCTTTCTATCCTTAGTTTTGCGTTTTGCTGTTTTTGAAGCTCTATTAGCAATTTTTGCATTCTACTGCTGTTGGTTGCTTGTATTTCCAAGATTTTTGTTGTCTAATTTTGCCTATGAACTTGCTTTTGATTTTACACTACGTGTTGAACACAGGGTCCTTTTGAAAATGTACAAATTGAAAATCAATATTTTGTTATCAACATACTGTTAATATGCCCTTTTCGTAACTTTGCCTTTTTTTCTTTTAATGACTTTTATCAGTAAAATAATGAGTTTGTAACTGTAGTTAGTTGCCTCCGTTGAGTGTGCCAACTAGAAGAAGACATTTTCTATTAATTTGGTAAATGCACTCGAATACAAATTTGTCACCTCTATTATCTGAAAAATTTCACATTTGCAATTTGTTAGTTTAAATACTTAACTAATGCAATACTGTCTCCTGCAGTAACTGTCGATCAGTTATGGGGTTTAATAAAATTATGATTTAAATACATATATGCCAACGCTTAACCTAATCTTCCATACACTTTTGGTAGGCCCGTGAAGGTATGGCGTTTAGTTCCTTCAGCGAATTCTCTTTTACCGATTTAATCGACTCAAAATGCTTGCCACGAAGGGGCAATTCGAGTTTCGGAAACAGGAAAAAGTCGCACGGATCCAGATCTGGCGAATATGGTGCCTAAGCGATGACAAGAATTTTCCATAGTAAAAATCGCTAAATGCAGTTGAGGTAGTCTCATATTGACAGCTGCTGTAAACAAACTAATTGACAGATGGCGCTCAAATTTGTACCATATGTAAAGAAAAGGTGTACCAAGATAACAAAAAAAATGTTTAAAAAAGGTCTATAACTTAAAGAGTAGTTAACAAACAACAAAATCCGGATACTTTTTGAGCAGAAGGTATTGGACACAAGAAAGTATCAATTTTCTAAAAGTCCAACGTAGGAACCAACTATTTTTACGATTTTTATGTATTTATGTAGTTCATTGCGTAAAATCATTTATTATGATAATATTTCAAAATAAAATATAATAAACTTAAAAAACAAGCAATGCAAATGTATATGGTATAAAATAGAAAAATCAAATAAAAATAAAAAAAATTAAAAAATAAAATAAAAGTAAAAAATACAAATAAATAAACGTCCAAAGAGATAAAAACAAAACGTGAAAAAAAAAATAAACGTAAATGAAATTGAATAAAGGTAAAAAAAAATAAATAAAACTAAAAAAAACTAAAATAAAATTAAAGAAAAATTAAATTAAATTAAAAAGTATAATTCAAAAATATTAAAAAAATATAATAAAAAAAAAATTAAAAAAATATAATAAAAAAAAAATTAAAAAATATAATAAAAAAAAAAATTAAAAAAATATAATAAAAACAAAAATTAAAAAATTAAACTAAAAAATAAAACTAAATAAAAAGAATAAAATTAAATAAAAGAATAAAATAAAATTAAAAAGCATAGTAAAAATGAAAGATCACATACCTTTATTACAAATTAAAATTAAAAAAATGTTATTAAAATGGAACTGTAAATAATAAGAATGACAAGAAATAAAAAATATTAAAACTAAAAAAGTAAAACAATTATATAAAAGTAAAAAAAATAAAATTAAAAAGTACAATAAAAATCAAAATAAATATGCAATATAAACTAAGTCATAAAAGAAATTTGACTTCAAAAACAAAAGAATCGTATATGAAAGAAGACATATAAGATATAAATATAATATTAGATATATTATATATTATATTATATCTTATATATATATTATATATATCTTATATATATATTATATATATCTTATATATATATTATATATATCTTATATATATATTATATATATCTTATATATATATTATATATATCTTATATATATATTATATATATCTTATATATATATTATATATATATATATATATATATATATATTATATATATGTAAGATATATGAAAGAAGATATATAAGATATAAATATAATATTAGATATATTATATATTATATTATATCTTATATATATATTATATATATGTAAGATATTCTATTAATATGAACATAAAAAAGCATAATAAAAATTAAAATAAAAGTAACAATAGTAAAATTGACTTTAAAAGAAAGAAAATTTTGAATGATGTAAAATAAATATTATTAAAAGTCACAAAATAAAAAAATAAAAATAAAATTAAAGTGATAAATACAAGTTAAAAAAACAAAAATAAAAATAAATCATAATAAAAAAAATTTTTTTGTATAACATAAAATAAAAAAAAATTACATTAAAAATAAATAAAAAAGTAAAAATATAAAGTTGAATAAAATTAAAAAGCAGAATAAAAATTAAAATTATAGTGCTTATTTCAAGTTAAAAAATAAACAAAATTAGTCTTAAAATAAGATTTTTTATAATGATATAGAATAAAATAATACATAGATGAAAGTTTTCAAAAATTAATAAAAATAATTTGAAAGTTATAGAAAATTTGCAAATCACATAAAATATAAAATTTAAATAAAATATAAAAATTGAAAAAAATTAAAAAATTAAAATTAAAATGAAATTTTAAAAAAGAATAAATAACTTATGACTAGTTTTTCTTATATTTTGCTTCAACCTAAATTTATTTTAAATATAAAAAAATATAAAAATTTCTTTAATTTATGAAATTTGTAAAATTTTCATTTTAACGCTTGTCCTTTTCTGCTTGTTGCTATTCTCACTGCATAATTTATTACATTTTTTTCTGCAGTCCAAATGCACTTGTTTTGCCCCACAAATCTCTGTTAGCACTGCTCACATGCTCGGTTAGTGCTAAGTTTTATGGTCATCAATGAATTTTCCTGCGTGTTACTTTGTAATCCCAGTGCTTATGTTTTTTTCACGTGAATCTGCCGTGTAAGGACTTCTTTTTTAACCCAAGACAGATGCTCTCTGCATTCCATATATTATTGTCTATGGCGATTACTAGAACTGCAGCAAGTGCATTTTTTACGACTTTTGTGCAGCTAAGCTAAGTAAAAAGTGTCAAGTTACATGTTAGCAACGTACTTCATTTGTCTTGCATTTTGTGACAAGGCGAAGACATATTATCTGAAAATATAATGAATGACTTTCGAGTGGTTAAACTTAATATCTTCCATTTTAATTTTGTGATGTATGAATATTAAGAAAAATGGAGCTAATACTTTTGAGAAAAATTATTATAAAATTTATGGTTGTTATTTCATTACTTGAAATGTAAGATGTAGGGTTTA